TTCAGTTGCCTTCTGGTCTTTCCTGCATTCTGAATCCTGTGAACCTGTACCCTGTAAGTTATTGACCCGGATTGTACCTGACCTTGCTGTTTTTCTCCTGTTCTGACCCTTGCTTTGCCTGACCTCTCTCCTGAATGCCCCCTATTGGATTTGACCTGCTGTTGCTGACCTGGCGTGTGACCCGACCATTCTATGCCCGCTGCCTTGTACCTTGCCGCCCTCTCTGTTACCGACCCGGCCCGTCTGACCCTGCTCATTCCATCCATCCATCCCGTGCAGTGGGGTCTTCTGACCTCCTCACATCAGACTCTTCCCCGTGGGAGCCCCTTGCGCATACTACTACCACTGACGGACGCACCCGGTAGTCACGACCTGGTCTCAGGGAGCTCCAAGTCCATCCCCACCATCAGGGGCCCTGGTGAACAAGCACCCTGGGACTTAGACTCCGTGCGCTGGGGACGCCTATTCAGTGGAGTGCTAGTAGTACCGCCGGCGGTCCCTTACATATTCCCTCATTATCCCAATTACAATGAGCAGATAAAAGGTCCAGAGTTTCATTTCAAGTGTGCTATTTGCATTTGGAATCTGTTGCTGTCAACTCTCAAGATGAGATCAAAAGAGCTGTCACTATCAGTGAAGCAAGCCATCATTAGGCTGAAAAAACAAAACAAACCCATCAGAGAGATAGCAAAAACATTAGGCGTGGTCAAAACAACTGTTTGGAACATTATTAAAAAGAAGGAACGCACCGGTGAGCTCAGCAACACCAAAAGACCCGGAAGACCATAGAAAACACAACTGTGGTGGATGACCAAAGAATTCTTTTCCCTGGTGAAGAAAACACACCTTCACAACAGTTGGCCAGATCAAGAACACTCTCCAGGAGGTAGGTGTATGTGTGTCAAAGTCACCAATCAAGAGAAGACTTCACCAGAGTGAATACAGAGGGTTCACCACAAGATGGAAACCATTGGTGAGCCTCAAAAACAGGAAGGCCAGATTAGAGTTTGCCAAACGACATCTGAAAAAGCCTTCACAGTTCTGGAACAACATCCTATGGACAGATGAGACCAAAATCAACTTGTACCAGAGTGATGGGAAGAGAAGAGTATGGGGAAGGAAAGGAACTGCTCATGATCCTAAGCATACCACCTCATCAGTGAAGCATGGTGGTGGTAGTGTCATGGCGTGGGCATGTATGGCTGCCAATGGAACTGGTTCTCTTGTATTTATTGATGATGTGACTGCTGACAAAAGCAGCCGGATGAATTCTGAAGTGTTTCAGGAATATTATCTGCTCATATTCAGCCAAATGCTTCACAACTCATTGGACGCTTCACAGTGCAGATGGACAATGACCCAAAGCAGACTGCAAAAGCAACCAAAGAGTTTTTTAAGGGAAAGAAGTGGAATGTTATGCAATGGCCAAGTCAATCACCTGACCTGAATCCGATTGAGCATGCATTTCACTTGCTGAAGACAAAACTGAAGGGAAAATGCCCCAAGAACAAGCAGGAACTGAAGACAGTTGCAGTAGAGGCCTGGCAGAGCATCACCAGGGATGAAACCCAGCGTCTGGTGATGTCTATGTGTTCCACACTTCAGGCTGTAATTGACTGCAAAGGATTTGCAACCAAGTATTAAAAAGTGAAAGTTTGATTTATGATTAATATTCTGTCCCATTACTTTTGGTTCCTTAACAAGTGGGAGGCACATATGCAAACTGTTGTAATTCCTAAACCGTTCACAACTGATTTAGATGTAAATACCCTCAAATTAAAGCTGACAGTCTGCAGTTAAAGCACATCTTTTTCGTTTCATTTCAAATCCATTGTGGTGGTGTATAGAGCCAAAAATGTTAGAATTGTGTCGATGTCCCAATATTTATGGACCTGACTGTAAATGGGAATGAAAAAGGGGACATAGTTAAAATACGGGATTTCCAAATTAGCTCTAGCTACAGTCAAAGTGATTGTTACTATAGTAGATCTGATTGTCCTAGAGATAAAAATATCTCAGACATTAACCACCTCCCGACTGGCCGTTGTATATAAACGGCCGGACGGTGGCACTGCAGGGTCGGGTGGCCATTTATAAACGGCCTCCCCGCACCCTGCTTGTGCGCGCTCCCATGGAACGCGCAGCACCACGATCCGGTGCCCGCTGTGTCCTCCAGATCATGTGATCAATGATTAGCCAATCAGCGATCACATGCAGAGTAGTAAGCAAGATGTCACTTGTGACATCATTGCTTACTACGTGTGAAATCTGTGAATAATCACAGAGGTCACATGGTACAAGACTATTCACAACAGCCTTGTACCATGGGACAAGCTGTGACCAATCACAGCTCTCACATTATCTCTCAATGGCTGCAAGAATGCAGACAGAGAGAAGGAGAAATGATTGCTTTTACATCCTTTATGGGTGTAAAAGCAATCACTGTAAAAAAAAAAAAAAAAAAATCCTCATCACCCCCCACAAGTAGTACAGTGTCATCATGGTGACACTGTACTGCTAGGGTGACAGTATGTAAAAAAATAAAATAAATAATATAAAAAAAATTTTTTAAATGTTTAAAAATTATAATTTTTGGTTATAAAAAATTTGGGTTTTTTTTTTTTACTAAAAATATAACAGAATAAATTTTGACCAAGATTTATGATGAAATATTATTTATTTGCAAAATTGTATAAGAAAAAATACTTTTTTTCAAAATTTTTGGACTTTTTAATTTAAATAGCAAAAAAAAAATAAAAATCCCAGCGGTGAATAAATACCACCAAAATAAAGGTTTATCTGTCTCAAAAAAATGCTAAAAAAATTCATATGGGTACAGTGTTGCATGACCGCGCAATTGTCATTCAAAGTGTGATAGCGCTGAAAGCTGAAAATTGCCCTGGTCAGGAAGGGGGTGAAAGTGTCCGGACTGGAAGTGGTTAAGAATCATAGAAGGAGAGGATGATCTGAATTCATTATCAACTTGGAAGAGAAATGGTGAATTTTTGGGCAGTTTTCTTCACTATAAGGCCCCATGTACACGGGACATTTCTGAACGATAGAAGCTGACTGCTGGAAAACGTAGGTCAAAAAACGTCTGTTTAGTCACGTTTGCATAACGCATTTATGTGTGTTTGCGTTTAGAAGCATTTCTTAAAGATAAGCACAGGAGAACCTCCCAAATGCCCAGAATGCACTGAAAAGTGGTAAATTATGAACTATTTCAGACTGTTTCAGAGAAAGACAGAGAGTAGACGCAGAGAGACAGCAGTATGTGTGGAGATTGGCTTAGGTGTGAGTTGCTCATTAATATTTCTTTTGTTTCCAAGGGTGGGAAAGGTGTCTGGTGGAGGGAGTCATTAAGGTCACCTGGCAGGGGGTCTTCATGAGGAATTTGAAGTGTGAATGGTCATTAACATATCTTTTGTTTCCAAGGGTGGGAGAGGTCTGAGGTGTGAATTGGTCATTACAATGTGTGACAAGCTTGGTAGGAACATCCTGTGTTCAGTGTTTTGTCCATCTGAGTACCTTGAAAACACTTTGCATGTATTTTTAATGATGAAAAAAGGCTCTGGACAGCATCGGGAACTGGAAGAGTTAAAAAAAATTCAGATGCAAACGCTTATAAGGCGATTTGCCGCATTCAGCCACGTTTAGCATTTGAAACACTGATAAAATCGAATGCTGAACGCAAGTTTTCAGCATTCAAAAAAACAACTGTAAACGCTAATGCCTGTAAACGACGATGTGTACATGGAGACATAGGAAAACATTAGGGAGAGTTCAGGGGCTGCTGAAAAAAAATGCAGAACAGCTCCTAAACGTGAGTTTATTCAGCTGCAGTGTACATAAGCCCTAAAACTGATATTATCCATAAAAGTATTTTTGGTGATGTGAATTGGGATAAATTTGTGTATCATCAAAACAATGTATCTGTAAATGACACCGGTACAGTATATATGAATGCTGCATATCAATAGAACATTATCCAATGAAATGTGTGAATACAAATGTAATTGTTATGACCCTAGGAAAACACACAGAAAAAGTGCACAGATAAGAAATTTATTCCAGCTAGTCCTTTCCAAATAAACCATTTCCAAACCAGACTGCTTTTAAGAGGACAGTTTGTCATTATATTGTTCGAATCCCAACCACGGCACTACCTGCCTGGAGTTTACATGTTCACCCTGTGCCTGCGTGGGTTTCCTCCAGGTATTCCGGTTTCCTCCTACACTCCAAAGTTATGCGGGCAGGTCAATTGGCTCCTGTCTAAAATTGTCCCTAGTATGTGTATGTATGAAAGTAAATTAGGGACCTTGAGGGTTAGGGACTGATGTCAATGTACAATATATATGTAAAGTGCTGCGTAAATTGACGGTGCTATATACAGTATCTCCCAGAAGTGAGTCCCCCCCTCACATTTTTGTAAATATTTGATTCTATCTTTTCATGTGACAACACTGAAGAAATGACACTTTGCTACAATGTGACGTAGTGTCAGGGCTCCCAGGTGTGACCAGAGGTGTGTGGCTGACGCAGGGAAACGCAGACCTCAGATATGTTATAAACAATATAATTTATTAACACTAACAATACAAACATAAACGCAGTGCAATACTAAAACATAACACAGTGCAAACAAACCAAACCAAACCAACCACCCACAGATAACAGTACATACAAGCAAGCGTCGTCAGGCAGGCCGGGTCAATATCAATAGGGCAGGTAGGTACAGGGGGAGCAAGCGGAGATTGGTCGGGGTCACAGGCCAGGTTCAGCAGGTAGCAAGCAGCGTAGTACAGAGGGTCAGGCAGAGGGATGGTCAGGGTCACAAGCCAGGGATCAGAACAGGTAGCAAGCAGCGTGGTACAGAGGGTCAGACAGAGGGATGGTCAGGAGCGAGCCGGGATCAGAGCAGGAGAAGTCAGCAGCGGTTCAGAAACAGGATGCAGGACAGAAACAGGATACAGGGCCCAGGACAAACACAACACCAAGGCAGAGTCTGCAAGTCTTGCCATCCCTTAAATACACCAGTATCATCAGTTCCAGGTGTTAGCTGGCTGAAAGGTTGAGTCTCTGATTGCTGGGAGCACCCGCTGGCCAGCCCTGGTACTGCAGATCAAAAGGCAGGTGAGTCCCACCATTGCTGGCCAGTCCATTCCTGACACGTAGTCAGTGTACAGCTTGTATAACATGTAAATTTTCTGTCCCCTCAAAATAACTCAACACACCGCCATTAATGTCTAAACTGCTAGCAACAAAAGTGAGTCCACCCCTAAGTGACAAGGTCCAAATTGGGCCCAATTAGCGATTTTCCCTCCCCCGTGTCATGTGACTCGTTAGTGTTACAAGGTCTCAGGTGTGAATGGGGATCAGGTGTGTTACATTTAGTGTTATCGCTCTCACTCTCTCACACTGGTCACTGGAAGTTCAACATGGCACCTCATGGCAAAGAACTCTCTGAGGATCTGAAAAGAAGAATTGTTGCTCTACATAAAGATGGCCTAGGCTATAAGAAGATTGCCTAGACCCTGAAACTGAGCTGCAGCATGGTGGTCAAGACCATACAGCGGTTTAACAGGACAGGTTCCACTCAGAACAGGCCTCGCCATGGACCAAAGATGTTGAGTGCACGTGCTCAGCATCATATCCAGAGGTTGTCTTTGGGAAATAGACGTATGAGTGCTGCCAGCATTGCTGGGGGGTCAGCCTGTCAGTGCTCAGACCATACGCCGCACACTGCATCAAATTGGTCTGCATGGCTGTCCTCCCAGAAGGAAGCCTCTTCTAAAGATGATGCACAAGAAAGCCCGCAAACAGTTTGCTGAAGACAAGCAGACTAAGGACATGGATTACTGGAACCATGTCCTGTGGTCTGATGAGACCAAGATAAACTTTTTTGGTTCAGATGGTGTCAAGCGTGTGTGGTGGCAACCAGGTGAGGAGTACAAAGACAAGTGTGTCTTGCCTACAGTCAAGCATGGTGGTGGGAGTGTCATGGTCTGGGGCCGCATGAGTGCTGCCGGCACTGGGGGGCTACAGTTCATTGAGGGAACCATGAATGCCAACATGTACTGTGACCTACTGAAGCAGAGCATGATCCCCTCCCTTCGGAGACTGGGCCGCAGGGCAATATTCCAACATAACGACCCCAAACACACCTCCAAGACCACCACTGCACTGCTAAAGAAGCTGAGGGTAAAGGTGATGGACTGGCCCAGCATGGCTCCAGACCTAAACCCTATTGAGCATCTGTGGGGCCTCCTCAAACGGAAGGCGGAGGAACGCAAGGTCTCTAACATCCACCAGCTCTGTGATGTTGTCATGGAGGAGTGGAAGAGGACTCCAGTGGCAACCTCTGAAGCTCTGGTGACCTCCATGCCCAAGAGGGTTAAGACAGTGCTGGAAAATAATGACGGCCACACAGAATATTGACACTTTGTGCCCAATTTGGACCTTGTCACTTAGGGGTGGACTCACTTTTGTTGCCAGCGGTTTAGAAATTAATGGCGGTGTGTTGAGTTATTTTGAGGGGGGCAGCAAATTTCGATGTTATACAAGCTGTACACTGACTACGTCACATTGTAGCAAAGTGTCATTTTTCTTCAGTGTTTGTCATATGAAAAGATAGAATCAAATATTTACAATAATGTGAGGGGGGGGGGGACTCACTTCTGGGAGATACTGTAGGTACCTCTAATAAATAAATAATATATATTGTGGAACTTTAATATTGCAGAATGGAAAATTTCAACAAGGTTTCCACAATGTCAAGAACATCTGGTTAATATTTAATAAGCATGGTATGGTATTGTAGGAGGAGTCGGTACTGTTGGAAGTATAACAAATAGTATGGACATTAATGCATTAAAGTCTGATCTCGAGACAGCCAGTTTAGTGGGAAGCAGTAGTATAAAAATGCAAAAAAATTTCAATCAAGTATTAGAAAACATGGTGATTAAAACAGCCAATGTTATGGGTCCATCTATATTACATTTATAGAATATTACTCCTAATTTAATGAAAAGTGAACAGTATTCCCACATAGCCAGAGCATGCTTAGAAATCCAGACAGAATATTCCACTAATTTTGAAATAATAGCTTAACCTCCCTAGCGGTATTCCCGAGTGTAGTTCGGGGTAAAATTTCAGTACCAAGAGCAGTAACCCCGAGCTACACTCGGGCTTACCATGCGGCGTTGCTCAGGGAGTCCCTGCAGAGCTTACCTTGTCCTTCGCTCCCACGATGTGTGTCCCCTGCAGCGTCCCCGGACATCTCCTCCGGCAGATGCCGGCATCCGGCTTCCGTGTTCCGGTCCCTGTGACGTCGGGACGTACGGGCGCCAGAACCGGCGG